GTGTGTGTGTGTGTGTGTGTGTGTGTGTGTGTGTGTGTGTGTGTGTGTGTGCGTGCGTGTGTGTGTGTGTGTGTGCATGTTTGAGCTTGGGTTTGTGCACTTGGATAGGTGTGGTACTCACCGTCGATCGATCGATCGATCGACCGACCAGACATTTAGCTGTGCATCTAGTATCTTGTACGGTCTACATATACCGCCTATCGATCTACCTATCACTGTTGGTGATGAGTACATGGAGCGGTCCTCCGCTTGGATCTGGTTTGGGCAATAACATGGACGGCTTGGACTTCTTGGGAGAGGAGCAGTGGGGTTCGAGAGGCACGAAGTAGGAGTGAAGTGATATACATACGATTACAATTCCCAGAAAGAGCTGGAGAGTTGGTTGCAGGTCGAAGAACCAGATGGACAGAACTGCTGTGAGAAGCATGGCCCCCGATGTCGCGTACACTTTGACGATCGTGTCTGCGTACTTCATGATCCACGAGACGAAGAGACCCGCAAACGAGAAATTCAGCACGATGACCCACGTGATGAACGTGAAACCGTTGGTCAGTCTTCTCCACCAAAACCCTTGCGAGAATCCTTGCAGCAGATCGTCCACTGTCAGCCGAAGCCCGTTGAAGAACACTCCGAATGCGTACAGCTGCACATTCTGCCAGTACAACGCGTCGTTGTCCTTCTTCATAAGGAACTCGGTGTACACCCCAGCCATGGCTGACAGCCAAGCCGAGAGCACCCCCAGCATGTACCCCGGAAGAGGCCCGCTCAGCGCAGCTGCAGTACATCCCGCCGTACATCCTTGAATCTGACTGGTGGTGGCTCCACACGTCAACAACAATAGCGCCAGCCACTGCGTTCGGGACAAGTGTCTTCGTAAGAAGACTCGGAACAAGAAACCAGTTGTTACTATTTTTAGATTGCCTAGGATCTGATACATGGCGGCGTCTACGTACTGCAGGGTGTAGAACTGGATATTGTTGTGGATAAGGTAAAGGACCGATGGAATGGGGTAGAGGGACATGCTCTTCCAGGTGGTCGTCATTTGAACGGACCCTGGAGGGCTCCCTCTCAACTGCTTGTAGAGGAAAGAGAAGGAGAGCAGGAGCTTGACCAGTTCCGCAAGGAAAGGGATGACAGCCACATCGTACGGATATCCGCCGTCGACCTCAGACGCTTGCATCAGCAAGCCTTGAGAGCAAGTCAATACGGTCAGCAGGCACGCCACCAGGAGTTTTCTGGTCGAAGAAACCATAGCTCGACGAGATGTTGGCACCAACAAATCGCGAAACCTCGAGTCCTACAACCTGCCTGCCTGCCTCTCTCTCTCTCTCTCTCTCTCTCTCTCTCTCTCTCTCTCTCTCTCTCTCTCTCTCTCTCTCGCTCGCTCGCTCGCTCGTGAGTCCTAACAACCCGCTTTCGCCTGGCTGCCACCTTTTACCTCCTGTCCTGCGTCTTCACTTCCTCCTCCAACTTAGTCCTCTGCCGGTCGATTCCTTGAACCTAGTCTGTTCGAGTTCTTTCTCCGTCTGTCATTCCGTTTCCTATATCTTCCTCCTCTATCCACCCTCCCCCTCCTCACCCGCCCTCTTCTCCTTCCATCTTTCCCTTCCCGCCCATTCTCCTGCTCTAACTTTTAACCTCTTCTCTCTCTCTCTCTCTCTCTCTCTCTCTCTCTCTCTCTCTCTCTCTCTCTCTCTCTCTCTCTCTCTCTCTCTTTGTTTGTATGTATGCATGCGAGTGCGTGAGTGTGCGTGTGCGTGACTGTGCGTGTGGGTTGCGTTCTTGCGCGCGCTTGGCTGTATGTACGCCCGCGCCGTTCTGTGTGTCTACTCAACTTCTGTGACCGAGCGTCTTCCCCGCTTCTCTGCGCGACCACTTGAAGCTCCACCGATCCTCGGTTTTCACTCCCCCTCTGCACCGTTTCCTCGCTTTGGCTGCAACGGCGTACCCGCCTGACCACAGACTTGAACCCCTTTGCGTCTCTTCAGGTGCTCAGCATTCCAGATTACGCTTCTTCTGCTCTCTCCGTTCTCTCCGCGCTCGTTCATCGAAGCCCTTTGCTGTACCCCTCTCGCCCTCCTCCTCCTCCTCCTCGTCTTCTTGAACAATTGGTTCCCCAACTTCCCCTGATTGTCCAACAACTTATAATTAGAACTTGAAGCTGTCAAGCTGCAACCGTCTTTCTGCAGCTTCGACTCGTCAGTCTCGTCACTGCGTGCGAGCTTGTCCTCTTCCCGCCAAGTCATGCCTCCTCGTCCTCCTCCAGCCGAACTCTGCAGCGTGCAGCCTTTGCGCAGCATCCCAAATTTGAAAAATTTAAAATTTTAATTAGTTCATATATTCTCAAAGAGACTTCCGAGTTGGTTCACCCAACTTCACGCCTGAATCACACTGGAACACTGGACTGAGAACTCCATTTTCCTTTTTCTTCTTTTATGTTCTTTCTTTTATCTTTTTCGTTTGTTAAATCAGTTTCTCTTGCATGGCTCAGAAGGTATCTGCAACGATGAACGACAAAACTTGGAAGACTTGGATATCGAAACCATCAACTTGAAAAAAAAAAAGGGGGGAGGGGGGAGGGGGGAGGGGGGCGGAATCAACATTGGATGATGTCAAACCCTGCAGTAACTATCAGAACTTAAGTTCCAGAAGCCGCAACCGCCTTGCGCGAGCTCTACCCATCCTCAGGAATTGCCAACTAGCTTCACATGATTAAAACACGCTTCTCTCTCTCTCTCTCTCTCTCTCTCTCTCTCTCTCTCTCTCTCTCTCTCTGTGTGTGTGTGTGTGTGTGTGTGTGTGTGTGTGTGTGTGTGT